CTGACGCTTGTAGACCAGGTGCAGGAGGTATGCTGCTGCTTCTCAGTGGTGGAGAGACCAAGCCCATGGCTTGGCCTTGCATTGGATTGAGAGTGTTTGGCATCCGCTTGAGAGGAGGCGCAATAACATCCATCGGCAAGTCATAGGGTGACTTATAGCCCTCTGTTTTATCGACAAAGCTCTGAGGCTTCTTCTCTGGTTGAAGAGGTTGCCTTTGGATGGAAAACGCGGTATATGGGGATTGAGCCGGTGCGGGGAAGTAAGCGGATTGGGTATGACGAAGTGTCTGCGCAGGGGGGAACGCATTCGACTGGGGCGTGTAAGATGATGGTTGCTGAAGCTGTTGACCAGGCCACTGTGGTTGTTGGGACTGCGGAATATATGTGGTCGATACCGGAGTTACCCCTGTTGCTACTAAAGGTTCGGGTTCGTCGTCTGGAAGAAACCCCTCGTCATCACTAGGTAAAAACCCTTCATCCTCATCCAAAAATTCATCATCGGCTAGTGCAGCTTGCCATTTTGCTGTAACATCTTCATCCTTTGGCGCTTCGGCCTGTGCTTTTGCCGGCGACTGCTCTCGATCCAATTGACCAAAAAAGTCATCTTCTACAGGCGTAGACTCTGTGAACAAAACTGCAGGTGCCACCACCTCCTCCTCTTCCTCTATCTTAACTTCGGGGAGTGGCGTGGAATACTGGTTTTTACCGGGGCTCTTGCTCGGGGCCTCACCCTCACCAGAGTGGAATGGATGTGTAGAACCAGCCAAAACTTGCTCGGTGCTCTTCCGTTTAAGTCCCCCGAACACAGGTTCTGCGTCCGCTGTAACTTGGTCCATGCCCGCAAATAAGTCATCACCCGAATCCGGTTCTGAACCAAAAAAGTCCATCTCTTTCTTGGAATCGACTATCAATTCCTCGTCATGCACCAAGGGCAATCCCTCGTCGTACCGCTGCTGGGCAGAATCCTGCCGCTGTAGCTCGAATGCATTCGAATTGACGCCCATTGGACGTGTGGGCAGACCGTCCTGCTGGTCAACCTGCTCAAAGAAATCGTCGCTATCATGGGTACCGGCAAAAAAGCTACCCTGTTCAACCGCCGGCGAATCGAACATCCCCCTCCCACCTGACGCTGTCGCAACTTCTGTAGCCATCATGTTCATCAAACTTTGCTCGTCTGGGTCCGTCTGTACAAGCGGGGGTATGGCGGGAAACGACGCCGATCGCTCCGGAGCCTCTTGACGCAGCTGTGCAAATGGATTGGGACCTCCAGAAACGTGCTCTTGGAGTGCAGAAGGGTCGTCGAATTTCCAGTTGATGCTATCTTGTTGGTCGTGCTGTTCTTGCTGTTCTTGCTGTTCTTCTGGATGCGGGGAAGGAGTTGTGCTAGGTGTGACCCCTTCCGGGAGTGATAAGCTGGCTGCGATTTCCTCGTTCTCAGCTGACTGCGTATGTGGCGGTGGCGGTGTTAATGACGGTGTTGATGCTGCTTGCGGCGGTGCGAGGGTAGTTGCAGATAGATTATCCCCAGCCTCCGGCAATGCTGCATTCGCTACTTGCTCTGTCGCATTTTCCGATTGCGGTCGAGACCCTATGCCGCTCACACGCGATTGGTTAGCTACACGCATCCCTAAGAAAGGGGTAAGGAGCGACGCATTGTGGGGAATTCGACGAACCACCATCTACACTCTTGCCAATATTCCTATCATCGCGATCACCGTACTGGCCCGCATTCGAAAGAGTGATTAGGTCGATTTGAGAAACAGCTCTGGAAATCGCAGGTGTATTGGTCGCAGTGTGGTCCTCACAGGACGGATTTTGACACGGTTGACTAACGTCTTCGACGTGGCAAGTCGTTGGTCCTAACGACACGGTTGGTTCGCTTTCTAAGGTGGGTGCGGGAGGTGTTGGCTGATCTGAAAAAGTATATTGGTCGGCGGACATGTCGTTGGAGGACGGCGGTGTGTGGTGGTAGAGCTGGGAACGAGAGCTATTGTGAGAAATCAAAAGGACATGATCGAATGCACCGATTCGATTATAAGAGGGTGTATCGGGTAAGTCGGTTTAAGAGTATCTCTTATATTGTCGGTGGTTGAGAGGACGAGGGAGTGGAGGGAGATGGTGATTAGGTTCCGGTGAGTTATGCTGAAGGCTCCGATGAGGACACTCATACCTAAACTCGAAAATCCGGATTACTAAACGAGCCTATCAGCTTACATGTTCGCAACAAAGAAACGAAGCATTCGCCAACCTTCAGGTGTCTTTCTCTCCATAACAAAACAAGCTTCTCTCGAACTCACATTATTCAAACTACAAGATCAAATAATTTCTTCTCCCCAATAATGGCAAAAGCGCAGTTATAACTGCCACACTCTGACTTGCATGGAAGAACGTGGAACGTGCAATTAATCAATCGACTTCAGGCCAACAGCTCGAACCCCTCTTCAACCACGCACAACTCCTCGACCCCACTTAAGAAACATCTCAACAAACATTTCCAACAATGCCACGACCCATCAATTATCTCGACCATGAAGACTGTCCCGCCAAGTCCGATGACTATGGCTGGGAGCAAAGGCCAGGGAATACCTACACCGTTCCGGTCTGGATGGAGCGAATGGGAATGCTCGATCTTCCCGACTGGATGCGTACCGAAGACGGCTCTTGCGACGTCAATTACACATCGTGCATGGGCACTGACAAGCCGGAAATCTACACGACATCGCTTGGCGAGACCTCGCCGAATGAGGCGCAGCTTCCTAAGCGCGAACAATGCCGCTTCTTCGCCCGCCATAGCCGCTGCAAATATGGCGAGCAATGCTATTTCTCACATGATCTGAGCACTGATGGAGAGGTCAAGAAGAGCGGTTGGATTAAGGAGAAAGAGTGTAAGAAGTCATGGGAACAGACGGCCCGAGAGGCGCGTGAGAAGAGGGAGGATGAGGAGGGGAAGAAGGTTAGGGTTTGTAGGTTTTATGGGACCGATGAGGGATGCAAGCGTGGTGTTTTTTGTATGAATAGGCATATTGACTGAGGTAGGACGAGTCCGTTATCTGTCACACTGTTGAAGGTAACGTTGACGCACGGCAGACGACGACGGTGCATTACGAAACTGTTGATGAGCATTTGGGTTCTTGTGGTGGCGTACGGTGCAAGGCTTTTCTAATGGGCATGATTGTGGGCATTATTATGAAACATGAAAAGGCGTTCGAATGGAAAATGATGTCCGTATTTCTCAATAATGTTCTTTCAATGAAAGTAGTTCCTAAATCCATCGGAGAAAGGTTTATACATACCTATATGGAGATACGCATCTATGTGTGTGTTGTGGAAGAAATCGATCACTTTGCCTGACGTCATATATTTAACATACGCGTCGCGTCAACCGCGGTTCAAGTCCACCAACACCACCATGTCGCACTACCTCAGAGAAAACGACCCGCGCGGTATACCTACCTCCTACGCTCCCACCCCCTTCCCTCCCACTGACAGGTAGTAGCAATCCTTGAGAGTGCTCGCTTCGAGCGCCACCGCCAAATCGTCGCAATCAACGTATCCTTCAACAACCTCCTCTCGCGCTTTCCTCCACCTGCAGACTGGCGCGAAAAATATGCCTTGCTTGAGAGGGCGCTTCATCAAGAGAAGCAGGTGATTGGCGAAGAGGAAGCAGAAGCACCACAACCACCACCGCCACAACCCCCATCACGAAAGACGACCCTCCAAAACCCACACATCGCACCAAAGCGACTAAGAACCACCAGATCCAGCTCCTTTATGAACACAGCAAACATAGCGACTCGAGCCGCGCGTCGACGCTCCGAAAATCTCGCCTCCACCTCAGCAGATGTATCACGCAAGCTGAAAATTACCTGCCGCAGAAACTTTCCCCGAGAGCTGCTGTTGCAATTAAACCATTACCCCGAACTGCAGCGGCGATTGCAGCGACATCCTCAACGAAGGAAGGAGCCGGAGAGACGAAGCACAGGGGATATGGTGGATTGGCTCATTCTGATTTGTGCTAAGGAGGGAAGACGGCGGAGAGCGTGGGATGTTGCGAAGAAAAACATGTGCTTAGATAGGAATGTGAAGAGAGGAAGGAGGGAGAAGTGGAGGGGTGGAGTGAGCGATAGAGATACCTAAAATTGCAATTCGCAAAAACTTTTGTCCAAGTACTGTACAATTACCACCGTAACTTTCCTGTGCCTCCAAGCCCAAGCTCAAGCTTCTGGAATTTTCTCAACTATAATCATGATTGCGCCTCCAACAACCACTCGTATTCCCCCACACACATAAGGTACAATTTTCTAGTCAGTTCACGGAGGATGTCAATCCGCGGAGTGACCGGTCAACCCGTGGAATAACTGGGCTCCATGAACTGACCGGTCACTTCATGGAGTCTACCACAACTCCGTGAACTGACCAGTCACTTCTTGGAGCCATGGCGGCACTGACAAAAATGACAAAAACTCAGTCTAATTAAGTCTGTGAGTATTTGTCCAATCACCAAGAGATATATATAGGTAACCTGCAAAATACATTGCTCTTTCAATTTCCAGTCTTTGATTTGTGATATCTTTAAAATTTGTAGAGTGGCTTTAAAAACTCACCCAAAAAACACCAAAAATCGATGTTTTTCCACAACCATTCTATCAATTCCAGAGATATGGTAAATTGGAGACCAGGAGTTGAAAGAGCAATCAATTATACATATTTCATATATACATAACTTTGCGATCAGAATAACTGTTAATTTTGGTTCAGCATAATTAGCACTGGTCAGTTCACGGATCCGTGATCTGACTGGTTCATTCATGGAAGGTGGGAGTCCGTGAATTGACCGGTTACTCCGCGGACTGACATTCTCCGTGAACTGACTAGAACATACAATCATTTCTGATTAATTCAAGTGTAACCATTCGTTTGTCACCACTCATACCGAAAAATCCAGCTCTTGGTGCGAGACAAAAGCAAAAGTAAGAAGAATGAGCGCAAAAGAACAAATCAGGCTCGAACCCGGATTTGAACTGGGGACGTCTCGCAATGGAAACTTATAGAGCGAGAATGATACTACTAGACCATCTGGGCCAGGATGTGATGAGTTATCTCGATTGTGTCGTTATCAATTCCATATTCCCACTTGGCAGAGATGGAGTTTTCGCCCCTATCCTAATTGGGTCAAGGGCCGGCAAAACCGATTTGGCTGCGCGACAATAGAAAATTCTTGTGGTACATATGCGAGCTTATCGAAACACTGTGCTCCTTTTGAGACAGTTACTCCGCAGACTCCCGAGCAATATAGCTCCACACCAATTTTCCATCATGAACTCGTCCAGTAACTAGCGAGGGTTAGGGTTTACCCATACAAAATTGCAGGGTAACCCTTTGCGCCCGCTCGATACTTAAAAAATTGACGAGTATCCCGTTGCCAGTAGCGGGCCCTCCTGTGCGCCCGCTTTTGTGAACACTGCACCTTGTTGCTTGCAACAGCACAGCCACCCACTCAGACCCCCCCCTAGAGTATTATGAATTCAATGAGAACCACTAGGAGCTTCTATTTATGTTCTTGTGGCAGTGTGATGAATTTTGAAGTAACGTAGGTTACCCTGCCATGCAACACAACCGGGCGATGCAACATCCCAACAACATACCATCTTCGGAGTAAAAGCTGGGCAGCAACCACAACCACAACCTCTACCCACAACCACAATGCCTAAAGTCAAAGCAAGGAAGTTACAGATAAAGGAAGATACTGTGCAGAAGGCTATAAGGGACTACAGGGGTGGCAAATTTCCAAGCATCAGAAAAACAGCAATACACTACAAGATAGACTTTACCACACTTTCCAGAAGGCTAAGTGGCACCAAGCCAGCCCAGGAAGCACATCCTGAGAGTGCTCTCCTGACTCCAGTGCAGGAGAAGGCTATTGTGCAGCTGTGTCTGTGGTTCGACAGCTGGGGCTTACCTCTAAAGCTTGCTTATGTTAGGGGTCTTGCCTGTCATATGCAGGACCCAGAAAAGTGAAGACGGCCAGGCAAGCATTGGATTTCACGATTCCTGAACTGACATCCTATCCTTGCATGCCAGATAGCTTGCCGCATTCACAGGCAGAGGGCCCAGGCAGATGATCAGAAGGTACTGGTGGAATTTTTTCAACTGGTAAATACCTCCCCCAAAAAATGCGGCATCACACTTATTAACTTCTTCTAAGCTGAAGAAAGCTCTGGATGAGTATGGAATTGAAGTCCACAACATATGGAACATCGATGAGAAAGGATGCCTGCTGGGAAAAGCACTCAAGGCCCATGTCATCTGTACAAGAGTGTGGCGGAATCCAAGATTGCTGCAGGATGGAGAGCGGAAATTCATTACTGTGTTGGAAGGTGTCTCTGCTTCAGGAGTACTCCAACTGCCACTCATCATTGACAAAGGGGCAGCACACTGGATGGGCTGGCATGCCTATGTCACAGAAGATGACCTTGCTAATTTTGCATACTCACCAAAGGGGTGGATGGACAACGAGTTGGGGGTGGAGTATCTGATTCAGGTTTTTGAATCACAGACTGCAGTAGTATAAGACCCCTGCCACATACTGGAGAGAAAGCTCACACTGATAGTGCAAATGGGGCTATGCGTCTCCTTATGTTGGATCCCAATGGATCTCATGTTAGCATTGAATTCATCCTCTATGCTGTGGAGCACAACATAGTTGTCCTTTGCCTGCCCTCCCACCAAACCCATCTTCTCCAGCCCCTCGATGTGGGCCTCTTCATCAGGAAAAAAACCAAGTTGCGCCCAGGATGTACATAGGACTGGTGCGCAACAGTCGCTTCAGACGACACCTCTTGAGCCACGCTGTAGTGTGGCATTGTACATGTATATATACGACCCCTGGTATTGCACTCGCACCTGCTGACGTAATATTTCGTACTGACGCAACCATGCAGTGCACTCAAATCTTATGGATGCAGTATCCCTTACCAACGCAGCCATCCAGTCCACTCATATTCTACTCATGCAGTATCTCTTACTGACACAGCCATGCAGTGTGCATAACTATTGATCCACAAAACAAATTACATGACGTCTGAGTACAATGCACACCATGACACAATGTAGTATTCACTGCATACAATGTTTATATGATGCCCTGAATTGCATTCAGATTTCAGATGACGGATACAGTACAGTTTTCCTGATGTTCGATATTGAAGTCCAATTAATACAGTTTTCCATTCCAAATACCTCACATTCTAAATGCTATTCTACACGTCGCAGCCAGCTTGAAGTATATCCTCTGAACTACTATCTTCTTCGCAGTTATCAACCATCTCTGACTCTGCGTCCTCATTCTCATTCTCATTCTCATTTTCATTCCCATTCCCATTCTCATCTCATTCTCATACTCGTTCTCATCCTTATCTTCATCCACTTCAATCTCGATATTATAGCTGCAGGCCACGGTGTCGCTGAGCACAACTCCTGGTACCGTGAATGTCATCATGCTCGTTGTCGTTATCATTGTCACCATCCTCAACACCATTCTCAGTATTGAAATACAAATCTTTAGCAATGGGGATGCTGATCGCTGAACTGATCGGAGTTTCAATGTCCAGCTCTATCATTGGAGCTTCCATCGCAGTCATGTTCAATACCCCCTGACGAGGTTTGGTAGCAGTGGCAGGTGTGTTATTTGATCCTTTGTCATGTAGAATTAGGTTGTTGAGAGCCGCCTGTATGGATTTGATTACCTTCTGTCTCAATGGAGACGGGAGATCATTCCAAATATTTATGAGATCAGTGTAAGTGTCTGCAAATTGTTAGAACAATTATATGCATTGTGAAAGCCATATATACCGCCGTTATTATCTTGATTGAAATAGTACACCCACTCTGGCCTTTTCCACTCGATTTCGAAGTCATCGCATTCAACCTTTGTTGGAGCCAAACCTCGATTTCTTTTCCACTCCATTAAGGCATAATGCAATGCTGCATATGTTAACCCAATCAGTGCTGGGGGTATCTGTTCTCAAATCCAGTTATGGAAGCCCTCTGAATTCGTACTGTGTTTGCGCATTTGTTGGAAGAAATTCAGATATAGCAATCGTGGAATCTCCTTGGCAAGAAAGTAACTAGCTCATTCCTGATACTGTTAGTGATACTGACAGTTGCAGACAAGACTCACCTCAGGCTTGTTCGCATAATCACATTGGCGTACAGTGAATGTACAATCTGTCAGTAGTTGGTCAATATGTATGTGGTGTTCATCATTTTCTAAACCATGTAATTTGTATAGTCTCCCTACACAATCATGGGACTTCTTGATCATGTGTAATCTGCCTGCATTGCCACTGCTTTTGATCTGACATATGGCCTGTTAGTCAATGAGAATGCATTTCTGGGAGATACTTAACTATCTTGAGATACTCCTTCTGAAGTTCTGGTAAGCTAATATTGATTCCTTCCGGCATGCATGCCTTGGGCCAGCATAGCACTACTGACTTTGTGTGGAAACGATATATTAGGCAGTATGTACCACTCTCTGAATTGTATCAGCTACCAGCATTAACTCAGCTTCAGTTGGAAATGGTCATTTGCTCAGCATTTCCTTCTCCATCATACGATGCATTAGCTCCAGTACAGCAGTAACTCAAAGGTCACCTGGTGCAAGGACACTTTGACTGCCATAATGTTTGCTGCTGACTGACAGACTTGACGGTGTATTCGGTGGAGATAATGGGATACATTGTGAAGCCGATGATGATGGGTGTGGACTCTGAAGACAACTGAGGTGTGTCACTGAATGAATACTGATGGGAATGACACTGGGTACTGGCAACATCGAATTGGAGGCGTGATTCGACAGGGGCAGAGATGGCATAAAGGCTGAATTTGGTGCAGATACAATGGGTGTAGAGGCTGAGACGACCTGAGCAGTCGAACCTTCAATATGTGAAGCTGTAGCCTTTATCTGCATTCGCTTCTGCTTGTCACCTTGCAATGTGAGTTTCCTCTTTTTACTATTTGCCAAACGTTGCATTGGGGAGACACCTCCAGGAGTTGCCATTGTGGATTTTGGAATTGAGAATATGGCCTTGTGCAGTGGCCTTGTCCGAGTCATTTTTAAAAGGGACACGAGTGCAGAAAGAGTGCCAAAAGAGTGCTGTTGTGGTAGATGGAGTTGCGATTTGGAGTTCACAATGCAGATGATGATTATTGCAATGTGGAAAAGGACTGACATCCCGTTGTACATTGCATCCAAAAAGTGATCTCATAAAGGGGCAGATTCACACCTAATATATTAGCTTGTCACGAAAGTGTCGCGTACTATCCAAAATACGATATCAGTGACTCCTGAAGATGGAAACCTGATCCTGGCTAGCCCAAATACAATGCTTCATATTAGACAACTCATAACTAACGCCAAAAGACACGAATCAAATCCCTAATGTGTCATTAGCTTGCTAGTCAATTGCTGGAAAGATAAGAGACATACTGAAAGAGTGAATCAAATGCTAGCATCCCCCGGCCATGAAACCAAAGACACAAATTCTATGAAAACCCAAATAAGACTAAAACAACCCTGTAAAATGCAAAAAACGACACCACCTGGCCCAAGCACCAACCTAACACATGTGTTAGTATGCTAGTCATTAGCAGTACTATTAGACGTACTGAAAATCATAAGTCAAAAATACATCCCGGTGGAGTCAAATGCAACACCTCAAGCTGTGTAACGCTCATACTGGGATTGGCATCTTGGTGTATACCAATTTCTACCAACTTCAATGCCTCCTCAACACTCTACGACTCTGACGTATCGTCATGCATTGCCTCACGCTCTATCAACACCCCCACCGTTACTGACTTCATCCCCCACTGTTCCTCCGCCTACGTCTTCACTTTCTGCTCCTCTACCATATGCGACGCATTCTCTACAATTTGTGCTCTCTCGTTTCATATTTGTGCAACTACTCGATCATTCATTGATTCCTCCAGTACAGATGACGACTCTTTTTCAAGTGGCGCAGCCAACAGGTCTGGGAGAGGGACAAACTTGACATGGCAAGTGACAGTCACCTCCAGTT